CGGACCCCCCAATACAGTAAAACTGCACATTTTAGAGTGGCCTTTTATTGTGGCCAGCCTAAGGCACACCTGTGCAATAATCATGCTGTTTAATCAGCATCTTGATATGCCACACCTGTGAGGTGGATGGATTATCTCGGCAAAGGAGAAGTGCTCACTAACACAGATTTAGACAGATTTGTGAACAATATTTGAGAGAAATAGGCCTTTTGTGTACTTTGAAAAAGTCTTAGATATTTGAGTTCTGCTCATGAAAAATGGGGGCAAAAACAAAAGTGTTGCGTTTATCATTTTGTTCAGTGTAAGTTAATTATTTACCCCTCATACATAGTCTTTTACCTTGGACCTTTCTCTCAAGTTTTCTTAAACTTTTTTTTGCTTCAAAACAGAGTTTGTAATGCAGTAATTCCTCTAAAAACTGGTTACTGAAGAAGTTACTAAAGAAGATGCCTATGGAGAAAGTGAACGGCAGTTTCTCCAGATAAAAAACTGACTTCATAAATACCAAATGTAATAGAGCTGATTCAGTGGGGCGGATTTATTGAGGCCCCTGGAGACTCTGACACTGCTTACACTGCATTACTTAACAACAACGCTGCAATGTTTCAACAGATAATATATGGATTACATCAGCATTCCAAATACAGATCACATTAGCATTCTGAGCCCAGTGCTATGAGCAGAGGTGACAGATAAAAGGACAGGGAAGGTGGAGGGATTTCAGTCGGGATAAATGGGAGGGTGGGGCGGTCCGGCCTCTCTCCGTGCCTGGCAGTGAATGGACACTGGCACTGTGTAATACATCATCCTTCATTTTATCTGCTTTTCCTCCTATCCCATTTCTCTCTTACTCTGGTTCTGCCAAAATCCCATCCTCACCATTTTATTAATACTCACCATATTTATTAATAATAGTGTCACCTTTAATAAAATACGCTCTATGGTAAAGTACCTCATAAAGAGCTTGAAACCCAGCACTGGGTAACCGGCCTGGCTAAGTGCAGTCAGAAAAGGGTTATCATCGTTCTAAACCCTGCTTTTAACCCGAGGCAAAGGAACGTTTACACGTCTAATTTATTAGCGGGGTAGCACCGCTTTTACCTGGAGTTATGAAACCACTGCAATACCTAACTTGTACAGTGTGAAAATGTTAGATAATTAGCAACAGACACCCATTTGCTGCGCCATATTCATGATGGACAGTTAAGGCTATGGTATACAGATTCGTCTACTTGGCATGCGCACATCAATATAGCATAATTTTTGTCACACTGTACAACAATTACTATTTTTGCATTATTGTGAGGGCAGGTTTAGGGTTGGGGTAGGTGTAGACGTTAATAAAACAATCTAGTAGGTAGAAAACTTTTTTTAATTTATAACTTAAAACTTTATTGTTAGCTTCCGATTTTAGCTGTATCCCTTCTAGCCACAACCACGTTTGACCGTCAAGGAAATATCGGATGGAGTTGTGTAAACAGTCATTTCATCGTTTGAGGGTAAAATGTCAAAAGTCGACGGAAAATGCATCAATTGGAGTGGAGAATGTAACATTTTATTCTTACCTTTATAATAATTACAAGTCCATTCAGGACAAAAACGTGAGATAGTAGCCTACCGTTGTTGGCAATATATGAATGCGCAATGGGCCATTATGTAAACGGGTCACGTACTGTGTTCGTCCAGTCAATGACACTATTTTTCACACTTGAAAAATTGATTAACCCTATGTCATTATAAACCCCTTGTAAAAGAAATCCAGGGTTATCTTGCATCACATTTAAAACACTCATAATTTACCCTGGGTTAACAATAATTTTGGATATTCATAAACCAATGTTTCGCACTTAATTCCTATACCCCATCTTTAACGTTCTTATTATATTTTAGGTTTCAGTGTCATCAGTAGTAATCATGTAATTGTCACACCCTATGGACTGTTTGTTGTGTTGTCTTCCTCATGTGCTCTGTTTGACCTAGTTTCTGTCTCCGTCTTTTACGGGGGTGGTGAGAGAAAAACCCCTACATCCTGGATTCGGACGGCATTAAAATCACCAACTACCCCCTGTAAACGGTGAAAATCACTTACGTCCCCGTGAGAAACAATTACTGTCTGAATAGGGCTATTGTGTCATTAATTACCCTCATCAGTCCTCCTATTTAAGTTGTGTTCAGTTCACTGTTTATAGTCCGGTTTACTACGCCCCTACGTGTGCTCCTGCCTGTTCTGTCCTGGATTTACCCTTGTGTGGATTTATTAAAGATGGTTTGCATTGCTCATCATCTTCCTCGTGCATTTCATTCCACCGTAGCGTGACAGAAGACCGGACCTAGAAGAGAAATAGCCTAAGCAAGAAATAGACCTAGAAGAGCAAGAGTCTAAGCCCACTGCTGACGGCGAGCCAGAGCCCGCCATGACTGACGAGCCATCGCCAAATGGAGCGACAGTGCTGAGGAGCTAGAGCCCAACACGTCAGACCAGGTGCGAGAGACCCGGCTACAGAGCTCGCCACGGGGGAGAGTGTCATGGACAGCGAGAGCACGGAGGGTTGCTCCACCCACTGCACCATGGCTGAGGGTGAGCCGAGCTCAGTGGAATCTGATTTGGATATTTATGCAGACATACCCCCTCTTCTCCCGCCTTCATCTGAATTATCTGTCTGCCCTGAATTATCTGTCTACCCTGAACTGTCAGTCCTGAACTGTCAGCCTGTCGTGAATTACCTGTCTTTCCGTCACGAAAACTGAGGTTGTGCCCATTCTCCTCCCACCATCATCTGAACTATCTACCTGCCCTGAATTATTCATCTGCCCTGAACTGTCTGCCTGCCCTGAAACGACCACGGAGGTCATTCCCCTGTCACTGGCACTCCTGGTGTTGGGAGTGGCCTTGTGGTGTGTGTGGACAGCACACACCATTCCTAATCCCCCTGAACATCCTGAACTCCCGGCCAGCCTCCCTCTCCCACCATCTCCTCCACTGTCTCTTGGCAGCCCCTCTGCTCACCCTCAGCCCAGCATCTCTGCGGTGGGATTGCTGCGGGTCTGTCAGTCTCCATCCTCGTCATGGCTGGAGGATCCCTTGTCTCCGCCTCCGGCCTCCGAGTCCTGGACTCTGCCTCGGCCCTTTGACCCAGCGGCTCCACCATGGCTCCTAGCTCCCTCCTCTCCACCGTGGCCCGCCAGTCCACCAGCTCCACCGGGCTCCGCCTTGGTCTGTCGTCGACCATCTGCCGCCTCGGGACTCCACTCCTCCGGCTACACCTCGTCCCTCCGGCTCTGTCAGGCTCCTCCTTCCCTCCGGCTCCACCTTGGTCCTCTGTTGCTCCGGCTCCACAGCGGCCTTCCAGATCCCCGCCTCCGCCTCGGTCGCCGGAGCCATCTGCTCTGCCTTGGCCCTCCGGATCCTCCCCGTTGCCCTGGCTCTTCGGCTCTCCGTCTCCACCTCGGGCTCCACCACCACCTGCTCCAGCCCCCTGGAGCTGTCAGCCCTTCCTCCACCATGGCTCCTCCCTCTGTCAGCTCCACCGTGGGCTGCCATTATGGCTGTGGCCTGGGTCCCTCCTGGCTCCTCCTGTTCCCGTCTGTCTTCTCCCTGGATCCTCCCTCCGACATCACCACCCTGGACTCTGTTGGTCATCCGGCAACCTCCTGAACCTCCTCCTGCCTGCCTTCCTGCCAGCCCTTTGCCATCCCCTGTTACCATCCCATATCCACTCCTTTGTCCTCCTCCTAAGTCCCCTTCCATCCCTCCCTTTGTCTCTGCGGCTCGAGGTCACGCCTTCTGGGAGGGGGGTGAACTGTCACACCCCATGGACTATTTGTTGTGTTGTCTTCCTCATGTGCTCTGTTTAACCTAGTTTCTGTCTCTGTCTGATTATTGTCATTGGTTTCAGGTGTGTGTCATTAATTACCCTCATCAGCCCTCCTATATTAGTGTTCTGGGCTGCGTTTCCCGATAACGGTGTCTCTTAGCGCGCTACGAAGACTCTAAAGATACACCTTAACTAGGGGTATACCTTTCCTAGGTGTGTTCCCCGAACTATACCTTAGGATGTTGCTTAAGGTAAACCTTCCTACGTGCAACGTTAGCAGGGTGCTGTCCATGGCGGTGGTGCTGAATAGGTTGATATCGATGGCTCGAGAATCGATTGTTCACTATAAACAGGAGCGCGACCACGGAGGTCATTCCCCTGTCACTGGCACTCCTGGTGTTGGGAGTGGCCTTGTGGTGTGTGTGGACAGCACACACCATTCCTAATCCCCCTGAACATCCTGAACTCCCGGCCAGCCTCCCTCTCCCACCATCTCCTCCACTGTCTCTTGGCAGCCCCTCTGCTCACCCTCAGCCCAGCATCTCTGCGGTGGGATTGCTGCGGGTCTGTCAGTCTCCATCCTCGTCATGGCTGGAGGATCCCTTGTCTCCGCCTCCGGCCTCCGAGTCCTGGACTCTGCCTCGGCCCTTTGACCCAGCGGCTCCACCATGGCTCCTAGCTCCCTCCTCTCCACCGTGGCCCGCCAGTCCACCAGCTCCACCGGGCTCCGCCTTGGTCTGTCGTCGACCATCTGCCGCCTCGGGACTCCACTCCTCCGGCTACACCTCGTCCCTCCGGCTCTGTCAGGCTCCTCCTTCCCTCCGGCTCCACCTTGGTCCTCTGTTGCTCCGGCTCCACAGCGGCCTTCCAGATCCCCGCCTCCGCCTCGGTCGCCGGAGCCATCTGCTCTGCCTTGGCCCTCCGGATCCTCCCCGTTGCCCTGGCTCTTCGGCTCTCCGTCTCCACCTCGGGCTCCACCACCACCTGCTCCAGCCCCCTGGAGCTGTCAGCCCTTCCTCCACCATGGCTCCTCCCTCTGTCAGCTCCACCGTGGGCTGCCATTATGGCTGTGGCCTGGGTCCCTCCTGGCTCCTCCTGTTCCCGTCTGTCTTCTCCCTGGATCCTCCCTCCGACATCACCACCCTGGACTCTGTTGGTCATCCGGCAACCTCCTGAACCTCCTCCTGCCTGCCTTCCTGCCAGCCCTTTGCCATCCCCTGTTACCATCCCATATCCACTCCTTTGTCCTCCTCCTAAGTCCCCTTCCATCCCTCCCTTTGTCTCTGCGGCTCGAGGTCACGCCTTCTGGGAGGGGGGTGAACTGTCACACCCCATGGACTATTTGTTGTGTTGTCTTCCTCATGTGCTCTGTTTAACCTAGTTTCTGTCTCTGTCTGATTATTGTCATTGGTTTCAGGTGTGTGTCATTAATTACCCTCATCAGTCCTCCTATTTAAGTTGTGTTCAGTTCACAGTTTGTAGTCCGGTCTACTACGTCCCTACGTGTGCTCCTGCCTGTTCTGTCCTGGATTTACCCTTGTCTGAATTTATTAAAGACTGTTTGCATTGCTCATCATCTTCCTCGTACGTTTCATTCCCCCATAGCGTGACAGTAATAAGTATTAACTGATTACATGTAATATGGATTACGTAATCAAATTCCAAAAAATGTATTAGGGTGATTCTATAACTGGAGATACATTTGGCATTTCAAAAAGTTAAGAAATTAAATGTTGACTAGGCCTAACAAAAATTCTTTCCAATATCTTATTGAAAACATATTCAATTTTAATAATTCTGTACTTGCCAAACACTAGTTACTTAGCCTACCTTTTTTTATTAATGAAAAAAAACAGATTTTATTTATAGTAGGCTTATTATTTGACAACTCTGTTACAGACAAATTAGGAAATGTGCAGAAATAACAAATCATAACAGGAAAAAATCCTTCTAGTTTTATTAGATAAACAGTCCTTACATTCCAACACATGAAACTGAGATAATATTTCACCTATGCATACCTTAAAAATAATAATAATAAAAAAAAAAAACAGCCATGTCTTCACAGAGCTGTCCACTTGGACAACCAAAAATCTATTATATACAAAATCCAGTAAAAAAAAAAAAAAGGATGTTGAAATATTATAAGGGTGCAAAAATACTTCAATAATGTTCATGAGATTTTTTTGTTTTTGTGAAAATAGTTCGTAAACAGAGTTGACCCTTTACATAATTGAATCGTAAAGTAACAGAATTGACTGGTGGACTGTCAGTTCTGTTACGTACTTATTACTCTACATTGGTAGAGAAACAGAATTGACAATTTTACATTTTTTTGCCAAAAACTCCACTTGCTATTATAAATGCTAAGACCACATGGCACTAATGAAATCATGATAAAAAGACCTTTAAATAACCCAATGTGTGATCAGTGATAAATTCTGTTTTCCTTTTTATATTGTGGTAACAGTTTTGACGTTACAATATAACGCTTGGTGTAAGAACTTTTTAGATTGAAATATTTTCTCAGAAAGAGCACACAGACTTTTCAGTGCTTCAGATCTCATCAGTGAGGGAAAGTGACATAATTTCCTGTATGTTACATAGCTGTGGGAGATAATTCCACTAATTTAAAAGCAAAGTATGGTACAGTAACAGAGTTAATGCAATGACACACATTTTTATAAGACAAAATTTATTTTTTAATTTACTTTAATGTTGTAGAATTAGGAAAATAACTATTTAGGGCTTTTATAAATAACATAAATGAAATGTTACCAAAAGAAAAGTAAAATAAAATATTTTGATTACACAATTAAACAAGATGGAACAAATACACTGACTAATTCAGACAACAAAATATCATGATTTTCAGTTATATAAGACACTTTTTACAGAAAATATTATATTGTTATGGCCTGTAACATCTTGTGATCCATGACAATGAGTAACAAATTATTAAAATATTTAAAAATATAACCATTTGAAAAAAGCAGAAATAATAATGACTTTGGACACCAAATGTACCTGCAATTATAGAATCACCCAGTACTTTAGTACTTGTTTGGGTAAAAGTGGGGTTTAGAAAACCCCTATTGACATGCAAATATGCAAATAAGAACACTGACCCAGGGTTTGGGAATGTACACTTTGAAACTTCAGCTTATCAATACCCAGGATTAAATGTTAACCTCGGGTAAATTATGAGCAGTGTGATATGTGAAAGATAACCCAGCATTTGCTTTGCCATGGAGTGACCCAGTATGAAATATTTCAAGTGTAAAAAGCAATAATATGTTCTTAACACGCTGAATGGTTCAGACATTGTCACAGAATTTACTTGTTATTGACCAGTGGACATGGAGAAGAGCTTTTGTCTGTGAACGCAACACTGCAGAACTCCAGTCGCCTGCCAGACAGATGACCTTTGGGGGTAATTTGGAGTTATGGCCTTCATTACTGCTCAGTGGACACTGATACAAGCCCCTAAAGCACAGAGTCAGCTTGGTAATAGATGTGTGTGTGTGTGTGTGTGTGTGTGTGTGTGTGTGTCTCTGCTGAGTCAACACCAATGATGCAGCTTTTTGTGCATGAAAAGGCAAAGACATCAAACTAATTTGCCAAAGGATTTACTAAACTGACCCATAAATCATAGGAATTGACATGTCAAAAATTCTACACTGGAAGAGTTGAGAAAAAGATGTGGTAATGGTATCATGCATCTGTAACAGGTATAGAAAGTATTATGTTCATATATATAGAATTACACAAAAAATGTTCAAATGTGTACCTGATAAGAACATGACCAGTTTAAGTTTATAGGACAACTAAACTACCAATTTAAACAAAAATTTACCGTCAACTACAGA